GCACCATTAGCATACCAGTTCACAATAATGTTTAAAGCTCCGAGGCTCCTCTGGCAAAATAGTTGCGAGTACAGCCTCTTGTTGCCGACCAACATTAGCAAGTTCAGTCACCACTCTCAGTTTATCAAAGTTCATATTTGCCCCACTGGTTATTGCAACAACATTTTCTCCTTTAAGACCATAATACTTGCAGTAAGCTTCAGCTCCAGCAAGAGCAAGAGCGCCTGCTGGTTCTAAAATGCTCCTAGTCTCTTCAAACATATCCTGCAAAACAAGCACTAGGCTTGTGAAGTCTAAGATCTCAAAACTATTAAATGATAAGTTACAGTGTTGGCCGTCCTTTCTCAATGAGATAAACTAGCACCCGAATTGCATTTGAACTTATTACTGTTACAAATAGCCAAACATAGAAAAGAGGTTACTCCTGAACATAAATGAATTCATTAATAACACATATCTCTCTGATGTCATAAGTAGACCACAGAGCAGACAACCTTTGTATGACATCAAAGTTCAAAGGATGAAAATAGAATATATATACAGAAAAAGGGCTCGCTCTGAGACATAAGGACAAGCAACAAAGTAGATCCCTGAGCAGAAAAAAGCCTTGCAATAATGCCAGCCACGGTAAACTTGCTTCAAGGAAATCCAAGGTTGTTACTATATGTATCCGGGACAATTTTAATTTGAACATTACATAACGTCCACCAGAAACAACTCATCCAAAAACAGATTGATTATCTTCATTTGAAGTCCTCGAGCAAATTCCCAATTCCTTCGTCCACATACTTTCTAACTGTTAACTAAGAACTTTGGCTGGTAGTTATTCAATTTACACATATGTAAATGAATATGTGAATTTTTACACCAAAAAAGACAGGGAACATATGAACGTTACAAAGATAGAAGTAGGTTAAATTCTATAACATGAAAATGTGAACAGTAGTTTTGTTTAAGAAGTCTACTACCTAAGAATGCATGATAAGCAAAAGAAACTCACCCATGCAAGTTTCAAGACTGGAAAGAAGTTTTCACCTTTATTGAGCCACATATAGCATCACGGCTAACAAGAACTACACCATCTACCATGTCCTTGCATAAGCGGAAGGTTTCTTCACCAACCTCTTTTACAGCCACACCATCTGCAAAACCTCCAACCTGGTCCAACATTATTCTCTGACCATGATGCAGCGACAATGCCATTGCATTTGCATCAGAGGGCTCCACACCAATAATCTTTACCTGTACAAAAGATATCACAATACATTATGTGATGCTAAATCGAAGGCCTTTTTTTAACGAAAAAAGGAAAGGCAGAATTAAATCTTTCCTTGAAGAAAGTGCACAAATTTGAACAAGTCACTTGCCCAGTAATTCATTTCAAAAGATGAAAAACACCAAAACCATACAAACCTTTGGAGAAACCCTCTTTACATATGCAGCAATACCAGCAATGAGGCCACCACCTCCAACAGGAACAAAAATTGCATGCAATGGGCCCTTTGTTTGACGCATAATTTCCATCCCAACCGTTCCTTGTCCGATAATAACATCTGGGTGATCAAAAGGAGGTATGAAGCTCCTTCCCTCCTCTTCAGCCCGCTTCTTAGCATAAGTTTGAGCCTCATCATATGAATCCCCTATAAGAACAACCGTGGCGCCCAATCTCTCAACAGATTTCCACTGCAAACAAGCAATACACAATTCCACAACATTCAATAAGCCAAACCCACAAATTAGAATTGTGAAATTAAGCTCCAAAATGAAAAAAAAAATTGTACCTTAATTTCTGGTGTGGTTACAGGCATTGCAATCAAAGCACTGCAATTCAACTTCTTAGCAGCCAAGGCAACTCCTTGGGCGTGGTTTCCAGCTGAGGAGCAAATAACCCCTCGATCCAGTTGCTCCCTTGGAAGCTTTGCCATCATGTTGTAAGCTCCCCGAAGCTTGAACGAGAAGACCTGCAAATTCAACAAAAAAGTTTCAGTCGAAAATCCCCAATTTTTCCAATCCAAATTATTCAAATGAACACTTGGAACAACACTTACAGGCTGCAAGTCCTCTCTTTTCATCCAAACTCTCACTCCCAATCGCTCCGACAGCTTCGTAGCCAATTCTAATGGCGATTCGATGGCCACGTCATACACCTTCGACGACAGTATGTTCGTCAAGTACTCCATGGCGTCGACAATGTTCCCGTTGTCGTTTCCGTCGGTGGCAGTACGGTCGGGTACGGCTCCGAGGAAGCCGGGCGGGTACTGGAGCGAATCGGCCGAGACCCGGTGGGGAAGCGGAGACGGCGTCGTTCTGGTCTCGAAGGAAGCAGAGGAGGTGGAGGGTTCGGCGGAAACATCGGCGGTCGGTCGGGAAAGCGTGGCGGAAACGAAGGGCTTGATCTGACGGCGGGTGCTGAGGTTGTGGGGCCCATTGGGGAGGCGAGACTGGAGGCGTTGTGACCGGAGAAGTGGAGAATGGGCTGGGCTGATGCGAAGGGCCTCCATTGGTTGATTGGTTGGAAATGGCGGCAGTTTTTTGCGAGGGAGGAGTTGGAGGTTTTCTGTGTTTTGCTTTTACTTTCTACTTTTAGTCACGCAGACTCACCGTTAAGTTCTTCCGAAGGGCCAATGAGAAAATGACACGTACAGAAAAGGTAGATGGCTATTGGTCTGTGACGCAGTTGCAGGTTAGACTACGATCTGGAGTATGCAATTTTTGACCGACTTTTAGGTGAGACGAGACAAATATTCACTTCATTCAACCTTTTGTTTGTGGTTGTGGGTCCCGCTTTAGGTGAGACGAGACAAATATTCACTTCATTCAACCTTTTGTTTGTGGTTGTGGGTCCCGCAATTCAGCTGGGATTGTGTCTGCGATTCGCGCGTTATTATTCATATTTATTATTTACACAAACAGTCCCTTCACGTGGTTCACGGAGATCAGGGAGTGTCTTGGTCAGCTACCGTTGGATTAAATCCAAAGGACATCAGCCTAAATAATAAACTCAATTTGTAAGGGTTAATTGTTTTATTAGTTTCTGAACTTAGACCCGATTTGCATTTGATTCTCTCAATTTTCAAAATAGTTCCCGTAAACTTTTAACTTCAGTTTCATTATAACAAATGGTACTACCATCAATTTTATTAACTTTTCTGTTAAATGCATGGGCAAAATAGTATCTTTGTATCAAAATTGATTAAAATATGAATAAAAAAATATAAAAAAATAAACTCTCTCTCCCTATCTATCTCGATTTCTACTCCCCAAAACTTGAATTTTTTTTTGTTGGTTTTTTAATTTGATTTTATTGTTATTTTAAAGATATAATTTTTTATTCATTTCTTTGGTTTTAATATAAAAATATCATTTTGCCCTTGCATTTAACAAAAAAAGTTAACAAAATTGACGACAGGACCATTTGTCGTAACGAAAGTGAAGTTAAGGGACCACGGGAACCATTTTGGAAATTGAGGCACTCAAATGCAAATCGGGTCTAAATTTAGGGACTAAATAAAATTATTAACCCCAATTTGTAATTTCTAATGCAATTTGTTTCGGGATAATTTTTATTTTAAAGATAATAATTTTAAAAAAAGACATAACCAAAATAATAATAATTTCACTATCAGATTATTTGACTAGCTAATGACAAGAATTCCATCATCAAATGAGATTTTCCCATTTTAAATTATATTTTAATTATTTTGTAGCTTTTTAGGTCTTCAAAACATTTTTACCAACAATTAGAGCAGTTATTATGCTCAAAATTCACATTTTAGATGGTTTTTTATTGTACAAAAAGTATTTTGTATGATTTATCAAACAAGACTCATAGCTTTGACAAAAAGTATTTTGTATGAATATAAAACTATTTATGAGAAGACAAAAAAAAGAAAGAAGAAAATCAGAAAAGGTAAATTATGTTGCATCATGATGATGTGTATATAATTAGGTGAAATACAAAGTTATATGTCGACAGTATTTTGTTGAGTCTTGTGAGATTCCTGAAAAAAAGGCTCCTTAAGATAAACTTTGTATTTTTCAATTCTATAGAAATGTTGTCTGTATTTTCTTTCTTTCTTTTTTCTTTTTTTGTCACTCGCCATGGAAGGAATTCACATTTTAGATGGTTTTTTATTGTACAAAAAGTATTTTGTATGATTTATCAAACAAGACTCATAGCTTTGACAAAAAGTATTTTGTATGAATATAAAACTATTTATGAGAAGACAAAAAAAAGAAAGAAGAAAATCAGAAAAGGTAAATTATGTTGCATCATGATGATGTGTATATAATTAGGTGAAATACAAAGTTATATGTCGACAGTATTTTGTTGAGTCTTGTGAGATTCCTGAAAAAAAGGCTCCTTAAGATAAACTTTGTATTTTCAATTCTATAGAAATGTTGTCTGTATTTTCTTTCTTTCTTTTTTCTTTTTTTGTCACTCGCCATGGAAGGGGAGGGGAAGTATTATATTGAGTTGTGTCAATATTGTCTCATACGTGAATTGAACATGGATGCACTTGAGGGGAAGGGGAGAGGTTGGCCCACTTTTCCACTGTGGTGCCACCCCATGTGCATTGTTCGTATTTTCTATACTCGAGGGGAGTTTGAGCAGTGCTTGCTTGAGGGGCCTCAAGAACGCCCATAGAGACCTCTGTAAGGACATATTAAGCACGTGGGAAATTCTTAGAATAATACAATCAAATAGAGTTTGATTTGAAAAAAACAATGAATTAGATTCCAAACAGCACCAAGTACAAAGTGAAATGAAAGTGACACAAAAGGGCTCTCAACCTCTCTGGTAGTGTAAGGCAACAGAGACCTCTACACCTCTCTGTGAGGAAAACTAAAACAAAACACTAAGGCAAAGAATCCTAAACAGCTTTATAATAAAACTGGCATTATTTGACCACCATCAGGAAAAAAAAACAAAGTCTTAACATTCAAGAAACCAAGTTTCCCTTGTAATTCCATATTGGGTTTTGAGTTTGATTTGTAAGATGGAGAGCTCAACATCGAAGGTAGAGGTCATCATAAAGCCTACGCTGCTTAAAACCGGGATTCCTTTAGCTTTGTCTATGGTTGGTTTCATATGTGCAAAGCTTATGGCTAAAAGAAGCTTGAATCCTAAAGAGTCTTTATCAGAAGCTGATGATCAGGTGCTTAGAGATGGGGATAGCTTTCATAGTTTCAGTTCTACATGTGTGCTTTCCATGGAAGATCATGAACCAATTATCATGGATGCCAATGTCATGAATTTAGCAGAAAGTTTGGAGATTGGATATAATAAACACGAATTGGAGGAAGAGATTTCGCTCCTAAGAATCCGACTTGATGATCTTCAAAACAGAGAATCTGAGTTGGAGATGCAATTTATCCGCTACTGTGACTTGAAATAGAAAGAATCTGTTGTTGTGGAGCTGAGGAATATGTTGTTATTGCAAATGGCTCATGTTGAGTTCTTCAATAGAGAAGTTTCATCCATGGAGGCTGAGAGCCAAAGGCTTGAGAAGTTGGTAGTAGAATATTTAAGGATTTTGGAGCAACTTGAGTATTGGAAATCAGAAAATGGATTTCTTCAGAGAAAGGTAAAGAAGCTTTTGAGGAAAGCAAGAAGGCAATCTCGAATAATGCAAAAACAAGATTTGAAGCTTGAAGCTTGGGAAGCAGAAGTTTTGAGGATATATGAGGCACTAGAACAAAGGTTATCAAGAAATTGGAAGACGAAGTTGGGGAGCTGAGAGTGGTTTTGGACCAAGTGCAGGATGAGAAAAATGTACTCTTGGAAAAGCTTGAATTGGCAGAAAAATCAGCTTCCTCAATCTCCAAGGTGACACCACTTTAAATCAATCACATATGCTAATGTATGTATTAATTCATATGATCAACAAACATGCACTGAAAGGGTAAGAAAATTAGAAGCTATTAGGTGCCTTGCCAGAAACGAAAATGTGGTACCTATTTTTGTTCCTTCCAGATTGACAGTCTAACCACTTTGAGGTATCACATATTGCAGATTGGAGGAGAAGGGATCAAAATTGAAGTCCTCGAAAAGGAAATAGAGCAGCTGCAGAAGGATCGTGCAGCTGAATTGAAGGAACTGGTTTACTTGCGGTGGAGCAATGCGTGCTTAAGGCACGAGTTGATGAGGAATCAAGCACAGGAAGAGCAGCAAGATCAGGAGAAGAACAATAATTTGGCAACAGATTTTGAAGGAAGCGGAGAAATTGCAGATTATGGGTTAGCTAGCATGGTTTTGGAGCATAATGAGCCTTGCTTTGGAATTGTGAGCAGCGATCAGGCTTGTTCGAAAAGGCAAAAGCTATTTCAAAGGCTTAGAAGATTGGTGGAAGGCAGTGACAAGGCAAAAGGAAGAAGATTGGGTGAGAAAGAAAGGCATGAAGAAGTCAAGTGTTTTGGAAGGCATTCTGTTTCCGATGATGCAGAGGCACATCACTTTCCAAGGAGGTCTTGCTCTAGTGCTTGAACATATACATATCAGTAAATTACATCTCTTGCTATTCAGATTTTAAATTCACATGTAAGATGTCTCATAGAAGGCCAATTTCTCCTTTAATGGTTGAGAAAGGCTATGAAAATGCTAAGCTTCAAAATCACATGTAACCCTACTGAGGGGCTGATGATGACTTTGTAAATCATATGGAACCAATCTTTCTGACAGTTGCTTTGACTATAAATCTCAATAACCAAAGCATTTGTATGAAGTTTTCTTGATATGAATAGGACCCTTCAAGCTATAAGACAAGGTATGCACAAAGTATGCATATATAAATAACGTATCTTTTATATTTAGAACATTTATTTCTGAAAACTAAAAAAAAAAGTTCCAAATTCTCACAAAATTTTTGTTTCTGAAAATTCAAAAAAATAAAATAAAAGGGGGGTCTTAAGCCCAAAGTTTAATGGAGCCCAGTCTTTTCGAATATGGATACTACAATGATGAACTCCATCCATTTGGCAGCACCTTGTGATTTTGAGACCATAAAGCTGTGGATGAAATAGAAAGTGCTATCCTCTCTCTATTTCTCTTACAAAAACTAAACCAACTAAAGCATTGATTCTTTAACGGTCAGTCTTAAGTGTTATTAACCAATATTGCACCATGGAACTCTTCCTTCTTCCTTATCACCAACATAATCCAACTCTGCTCCACAGGCCTCCCTTCCCAGAACCCATTACAAGTAATCTCTCTCTCTCTCTCTCTCTCTCTCTCTCTCTCTCTCTCTCAGCTTGTCTTTTGGGGTTCATTGAGACTCAAGCAATTTTATTTGAATTCACAGGCAAGAGACTACTCAAGAGGAACTCACATGTCTTACCATGTCAATGCTCATTGCCCTCCTCAGATGATGCTTCAAAACCAACCTACCATTCATTACACTATGAGGGAAGGAGGGTTTTGATTGGTTCTCTTTTAACTTCAGGTTTTCCCTACTTTTAACTCCTTTTCTTTAATCTGAACGCGTAAGTGTAAAAATTAAATAAATATAAAATTTGGTTTCACCTTGTTGAAAGAAAAAGAACTTCTTTACATTGAATTGGCATAATTTTAATAAATTGGGTCTGGGAAATCTGTCCCTGTGGAAATTTAGATACTTCTAGTGGGTTTTGTCTTTTTTTTTTTGGTAAATACCACAGGGTGTCCCACACCCGAAGGGTGGGATTAATCCCCGCTCGGGGTTCGGCTTGCCCCTGTCTATTTTCGTTTCTCATAATTGTCTCTGTTCTTTTCATATCTTCATATGATGTTTCATTCCTTCCATGAATGCACAATTGCTGTATACACTGGCTTATTGACCTCTTCATCTTTTTGAAATGAATCAGCTGCTGGCTTGTTTGTGTGTGATGTGGCTGAAGCTGTTAGCACAAGTAGGAGAGCTGTGAGTATCAAAATATTTTTTTGCTTTTGTTCTTTTATCTTCGGGATTATACTTTGGTGATTATTGCTGCTACGAAATTAAATTTAAGAAGAAAAAACAAGAAATCTTATTTTTAAAAATAGTCTTTACATTCAAAATTTGTGACATTCATTTATTTTCTGCAGCTAAGAGGAGCGAAAATACCCGAGAGTGAATTTACAACCCTTCCCAATGGTCTGAAGTTAGTAAACTATCGTCACTTATAAACTCTCTGCTCACCTGTTATGCTTTCCCTCTCTCCTTTTATAATCTTTCATGGTACATTAAACCATAAACGTGGCATTTCATTGTAGTTTTCATGTTGATGGCATGCTACATGTAGATAAATGCACGTCAAAAAATTTGTTGTCAAGCTTAGAATGTAATTTTCTAGAGTTTTTAAAGCTCTGCGTCTGAAATAATAATATACAAAGTATTACAATCAACTCATACCTATTTTATGATGCAATATCCTGTTTATTGATTTCACCTGTGGAAGGTTCATATCTTTTCCTATGCCAAGAATTATGTACTGATGGAATTGTTCCTCACTCCTCAGGTACTATGACTTGAAGGTTGGGGGTGGAGCTGAGGCAGTGACAGGATCCCGGGTTGCAGTATGGTTGTGATCAAGTTAAATTTCAATATTTTGAGAATACATAAATAATACTTTCCTAGAATTTTCCAAAACTAAGCATTAAAAATGTCAATATTTTTTCAGGTTCATTATGTTGCGAAGTGGAAGGGTATCACTTTTATGACAAGTAGACAAGGACTTGGTGTTGGAGGAGGAACGGTAAGATTAGACTGGTGCTGCGATTCACGTGTATATGCAGTACTATAGGTCATTTCGACAGTAATTTCAAATGCATATAGATAGAAGCAGACACCTTCAGTTTCCGTCTATATTACAATCAAAGGAACCAACCAATTTTATGATTACATAATATAGCTTCTGGAATACCTATCTAGACCATATCAAAACTTTTCTGCTTAGTAAATATGCACAAAACAGTTATATTTTTTTCAGTTAAAGTGCTGACACTCTTAACATGCTGTCTTTCCTATGATGAATTACCAGTTAACTGATTCTCATTGATCCCTGCTTATAATTTCAGAAATGAATTCCTAAACAATTATTCGTTGTAAAATTACTTCCAATTTTGAATTATTTCCAGCAAGCAATTTTTTGGAGATTTTGACATCTTAGTTTACTAAACATTTAGTTTTATCTTGAACTGTGTACTTATGGTTCATGTTAATAAGGAAAATAGACTATGCAATCTGCACTCACCATACTGTGTCACATGTAAGTGTTTCTTATATCTTATAGTTGTTATATGTATGCTTGGATGCTGCAGCCATACGGATTTGACGTTGGCCAATCTGAGAGGGGATCAGTCCTTAAAGGGTTGGATCTTGGTGTAAAAGGCATGAAGGTTGGAGGCCAGGTGAGATCAGTGTTTTGGAATAAAATTTATTTGTTATATCTTGAAGCACTGTTGCTGCATAACTTGTGTTTACAATTTGAAGAAGAAAATTGGAGTTTATTTTTATGGTGTTTTGTAGTAAGCCTTGAGTGGAACAGTGTTCTGGAATCTGGATGGATTTATGTAGAGACTAAAAATAATTTTGAGTCTCAAGCATCTGATATATAATCCTTGATCCTCTGAAACTGTACGGACTAGAAATTTTATGATTCTTACAAAATGATAGTTCTTTTAATATTTGGAGATCTTTTGTTCTTTATGATAACAGAATAGCAGGTCCAAGTCTCTGATCTTCTCTTCATTGGACTGAGACCACTTAAACAACTGAATAACAACTTCTTCTTTTTGGGGGGTCAGCATTGATACGTACCCTTTTGGGTTCCTTTTTCATCTAAATTATTTATTTTGCAGCGCCTGCTAATAGTTCCTCCCGAGCTAGCGTATGGAAGCAAAGGAATCCAGGAAATCCCTCCAAATGCAACCATAGAGGTAACATAATTTAATCTCCTTCAAAGGAACTTCATCCACAAATCTCTCTTTTTCTCTCTTAGGCCTTTTCCATGGTCTTAAGTATATTACACAGTTTACACTTAACTGCAGTGTTCACGCATCCGTGGTTAAAAATGCCCTCCAGATGTTATTCATAATTGACTTGTTCTGCCATTCTCTTTCATCCCAAGTGTAGAATCTTTAGTAATTTTGTTTGTATATGAACTAATCTATCGCTATCACTATTTTCTTTTCAAATTGTCATTTTATTCTTTCAATCTTTTCTGCTATCTTTCTTTCATGGCCCTTCTCTATATTCCTCTTGACTGTTTTCGTACCTTCTTTTAATCTGCAGTTGGATGTTGAACTACTGGCCATAAAGCAAAGCCCATTTGGGTAAGTAATGGGTTCTCTGAAGTTAGTTAACCACTTTTTATATTCATATTGGAAGATATGTAGCAATTGAAAATTATCTTGTTACTCTCTTGTGCAGGTCTCCTGTAAAAATTGTTGAAGGTTAATGCAAATGCAATGATGCTCTTCCTACTGCTCGTTGTGTTCTTTTGTTAAAGTAAATGAGTCTCCTGTAAAAATTGTTGAAGGTTAATGCAAATGCAATGATGCTCTTCCTACTGCTCGTCGTGTTCTTTTATTAAAGTAAATGAGGAGATTAGAAGCTCAAAAATTGTGGGAAAAAAAAGAAGATATGTTTGCTGTTCTCTTCATAGAAACCATAAAGTTGTCTTTTTTGTTCTGAGACATAAGTTTTCTATGCATGTGTCTGTGATGATTAAATGATTGAATGATCGGATCGTTGATGCTTATAAAAATGACTTATTTTTTAGGTCATTTAGGGCCCATTTCATAACCATTTCATTTTTAGTTTTTAGTTTTCATTTTGTATGCTAGAGTATAGAGAAAAATGAGAGTGACAATGGGAGTGAGGAAGAGATTGAGAGAGAGAGGATGAGAAGGGAGGATGAGATGGAGGAGTATCAAAAGTGAAAACAATTTGAAATAGATTTCAGTTTTTAGTTTTTGCCCATCCTCTCCTCTCATCTTCCCTCTCAATCCCATCTCTACTGTTATTCTCCCTCTTTTTCCTCTATACTCTAGCACAAAAAATGAAAACTAAAAACTAAAATTGAAATAGTTATCGAACAGGCCCTTATGTGCTTGTTGTCCTATTTTCTTGTTATGAGTGTTAAATCTTTTCTATTTCATTTTTTATGCAGAACATAGCTTAATCTGCTTATGTATCCCTCTAACTTATCTGATTGTCATCCACGTGTACGCTTGTTGGAGAGCAGAACATTGGTGGGATAGCCATTATGTTGCCTTTTATTTTTATAATAGATTTGTATTCTTAATCTATTGATTTGTTGCTTAACTTCATGAAGGAAAGCAGAAAAGTTGGCATATCATTAGTTTGTTGTACTGAAGCCTTTTCTGGTAATAGCTTTCCTTAAGTAGAGGTCGCAGCTTAAAATGCTGTCCCTAGGGAATAAAGGAAGAATCTACAGGTCCTATAAAACCCAAAAGTTTTATGATTTTTTTCACATAAGATTCTTGCAGAGACTTTCCAGTTTTTGTTTCACCCACTTTATTCTCTTGTTGTATCCTTTTATTTACCCCATCTTCCTTCCATAAGCTTTTCATTGCTTCCCCTTTGTTCATGCAAAATGGTCACTAAGCCAAACATAATACCAGGCTTCCTCTTCTGCCATCTCTTGTTCCTTCTTTGTGTAGATCGTTACTGCTATTCTCAAAAGACCTGCCCAGAATGTGGCTCCATAAAAGTCCCATATCCCCTGAGCACAAACCCCGACTGTGGCGACCCTGACTACTCTCTCCATTGTGACCCCTCCTCTAAGAAACTCTATGTTGATGCCCTCAATGGAAGTTATTATCTTGTGCTTCAAATCATGGCTCCGAATCAACGCATGCTGGTACAACCATCCCCATGGCTGCCTGGCAAATGTGTTACCCAAGACATGGTGGTGAGTGAGGGCCTCTGGTTGAATCAGTCACTTCCTTTCAACATCACTTCGTCGAACACCATCTTCCTCTTTAACTGCTCTCCACGGCTCTTGGTTTCTCCTCTTAATTGCACTCCATCTAGCCTTTGTCACCGCTACTTGGAAAGCTCAGGACATGTTGACACAAACCGAGCACTTCAGTGTGCAGACAAGCTTAACCTTTGCTGCACTTTTGTTGCTGGTGGGACGCCTTCAGCCTACAAAATACGGCTTCACAATTCAGGTTGTAAAGCCTTTAGAAGCATCCTTCATTTGGATATAAACCAGCCTGCAAACCAATGGGAAGAGGGATTGGAAATTCAGTGGGCTCCTCCACTTGAACCAATTTGTAGAACACAGCTTGACTGCTCTCAAGCTTCCAAATGTTCACCTACTGGTTCCAATGGCCTCTCTCGCTGCCTTTGCAATAGGGGCTACTATTGGGACCATGTTCTTGGAACATGCTCAAGGAAGAAGAGGAACACGAAAGCCGGTCTGCGTTTAAAGGTCTCAGTAGGGGTAATCTCTTTTTTCCTTGTGGCTGTAGTTATAGCGATAATTACAGTGAAAAGGTCCTGCAAATTCTCTGAGCAGGAAAAGCTTACCAAGGCAAGAGAAGCCATGTTGAAGAAAAATGACGGGAAATCGGCTAGAATGTTTCACTTAAAAGAAGTGAAGAAAGCCACTAAAGGTTTCTCTAAAGACAGGGTTTTAGGGAGTGGTGGGTTTGGAGAAGTCTACAAAGGAGAGCTTGAAGATGGGACTGTGGTGGCTGTCAAGTCAGCTAAAGTGGGCAACATCAAGAGCACAGAACAAGTACTAAATGAAGTTGGGATACTTTCCCAAGTCAACCACAAAAATCTGGTCAGACTCTTGGGTTATTGTGTGGAAGCTGAGCAGCCATTGATGCTCTATGAGTACATATCAAATGGGACACTCAGTGACCATTTACATGGTAAATTTTCCACCTTTCTTGACTGGAAAACTAGGCTCAGAATTGCCTTACAAACAGCTGAAGCATTGACTTATTTACACTCTGCTGCTCATACTCCCATCTACCATAGAGATGTCAAGTCAACTAATATACTACTCGATGACGATTTCAACGCCAAAGTTGCAGATTTCGGGCTCTCCAGGTTGGCTTGTCCAGGTTTGAGCCATGTCTCAACATGTGCTCAAGGAACATTAGGGTACTTAGACCCCGAATATTATCGCAACTACCAGTTAACTGATAAGAGTGATGTTTATAGTTATGGGGTTGTGTTGCTCGAGCTTTTAACATCACAGAAAGCCATTGATTTCTCGCGTGATCAAGACGACGTGAATTTAGCCATTTATGTGAGCGTAAGAGCCAACAATGGTGCAATTATGGAAGTTGTGGATCAGCGGCTGTTTAGCAAGGAGCCTGCAGGGAATATATTGGCAAGCATAAAACTTTTCTTAGAGCTCGGACTTGCCTGTCTGAGGGAAAAGAAGGGGGATAGGCCAGCCATGAAGGATGTTGTTCAAGAACTCCACTGCATAATTCAAGTTTTAGATCATGAAGTGGTTCAAAACTAATGAGATTAGCTTTGTTGAAACTATATGACTTTACTGTACTACTAATGTAACCGAAAAAATAAAATGTATTGTACTATTACTAGAGTGTGGAAATGTTCTCCTACCTGACTCTGTAACATGCTATGTCGTTAGATTGTTAATAAGACGAACTCTTATTTTAAGGCGTAGTGTAAGATTGACGGGTAGACAACTTAACATACCAAACAAGACAAAGTGTAAGAGTTTGAATTCAAGTTGTATTCCTTTGTGTAAATATTACAATATTTATAATTGCACAATAAAGATATAAACGGTAAAAGGCTTGAATGGCAGTAAACACAAAATATTTGGAGAGCAAGTCAACTATTGTGATTAAGAAGAATCCATTTCAGATTCTTCTTCCTTGATGAGTGCGTGTGTTTGACACAAAGTTATATAGAAATTGAAGTTAAATATTGTTATGGATAATATGATACAATCTCTGAATATTCATGTTTCCAAATGAGAGGATATGGAAGGAGGTGGAGATAGATAATGCCAAGAAAGGCTTAGATTTTGAGTAGCACACAGAAGCTAAAGTGATTCCAAGGATGGGTTTTGAGTGGAGGGAAAAAGAAGGGTTGGGATCAGATGCTTCCTTTGTGCAGAAATAAAATGATGCAGAAAAGACATGGACTTCCAATTCTGGGGTTATTGGAATCTATTTATATTTAGGATGTCCACGTTAATTGGTTGGCATGGAGAAAAAAAGCAAGCAAGCTTTTTGCAAACAAGGAAAGCATTTTGCTTAGAAGGTTTGAATAGGAAATTGACAATTTTGTCAAGCAAAGTGAACCATTATATAGAGTTAGTTGCTTCAAGTCTAGTCTTGTCATAGATTCATATCTAGTAACTTTCGAATCATTACTAAATACTGGTCGTGGTAAGGAGTGCAATATGACTATTTTGAAGTGCTAATAACAATTTTCATTGTATTTATTTTATATAAAGTTAGTTGCGAGTTTTTTACATCGAGTTTATTTTTGTAATGATTAAAGGTGGAGTTGTAACTAATGCAGACCAGCATCAGACTCCAGATTGTTAGTTGCTATTGCTTATTGTCACTTCCACAAACTCAAGTGGAATGTTAAATTGCAAAGCTTTAATTGGATCCAGAGAAGAGGAAAAATTCTTATTACAAAATAAAATCTAAACTCCAAAATCAACATGAACTACATGACTGCCTAACTCATGCATGAGAATCTTAATTGCTATCAAAATCGTCAATTGGTTCTTTGTACATATGATTCTTAAATTGTAATTTAGTAAATAAAAGGTTTTGATTATGACATGTCTATGGTGAAGATTCATTAATAATAACGACATGGACAAGAAGGTGTATCGTCCTTATTTAAGCTGAAAATACCAAAATTGTGGACTTCATACCAAGAAATTGGACGCAATAATACCGAGTTTGAATTCTTAGCTTATTTCTTTATCTTATCTTTTTTTTTAAAAAAAAAAAAAAATCAAAGGGGAGTAGAGAAAAGTCCTAAATACATGCAAAGCGACATCATTTAAACCATAAAACACATTTAACATGAAGAAAAAAAGGTGCAATTAGTCGATGGATGCGATTATTTTACAGCAAAGGATGAAGGGGGAAAGGAGGGGGTAAAGAGTGGGGAAAATAGAGATAAAGGGCAACTTTTAAATTGGGATTAGTCTAAACCCCAAGATTGCATTGACTTCTAATATCTATTACCAATAGGTCTTTCTTTTGCATTAATACCACTAGTCTCAATATTATATAAATTATCAAGCGTGACAGAGTGATATCAAAAGATGAAAGTAAAGAACCCAACTTCTGGAAAAATTATAAAATAACCACAATAACTTCGGTGGGAAGGAAAAACCAAAACGTTTCCACCACAAAATGGATAATGGACTAATAATGAGTTATTTCAGTCCTAATCAAGACTCTAAATGGGTCACCTGTTTTACATGTATAAGAGATTTTTAAAAAGATTGTGTATATCAACAACCGAAATTGCATCTTTACGCACGACTAGCGTTAACATTTCCCTTGTCACTTGACTTGTCATGCTTAAGTGACAAGGGAAATGTTAACTTCCAACTCCATTATGTATAAGTACAATATCAACAACACAGAAAACATAAGCAAGGAATCCAAACTCTTGATTACGAGTTCTTGGAGTTGTATATAAAATATTAAAAATAAAAAAATTTGGTATCTTGAGCTCAGATTTTGGTTGAATGAGCAGTTGCCAGCATACTGTAAACGCTCATTTGGCAGCATTGAGGACTATAATAAAATTGGAATTCAAAATCTTGTATTCCATAGATAGTTAGCGAATACAAAATCTCTAGTACAAAACTTATGGAATGGTTTCACTTTCATATATTTCAGCTTTAGAGGAAAAAGTAGCAAACCACCAGCATATCACCTGCGATAGCGGTATCGTTTGAAGTTGAAGTATACGTGCAATATTCCGCGTTCAAACGTGCATTTAAAGCCCTTCTTATGAGAGTATTCCCATTCTTTGTTTACTATCCGGAATGCAATGTCCTCGTAAGGTGGTCCAGCATGAAACCTTATAATGCATGTCTCGCTGCTGTTGCCATCCTTCTCAATAGTATAATGTGGGGCCTTTGTCTTGTCCACAAGGTCTGGATAGAAGATGTTGAATTTATATCCTTGCACAATCTTTGGCGGTGGGTTATCGTGATCATAGTGAGTCTGGTTGTATTTGTTCCATTCATATCCAGTGTGAACGCGGTTGAAATATTTCGGCTTTCTAGGTCGGTACTTGTCATGCCACCAGTATACCTGTGAGTCAAGATTCACTTCAGAATTAGAGCCAAAAACTGCATCTCCTTCCTCCATGATTCCCATGGCTTTCATGGCCTTCATCTCAAAGTTATCTTCTGGTGGTGGAGCTGGCTTTGATGCCAAAGCTTCTTGAATCCGTCTCTGTTGTTCTTCTAGCACAGCCACACGCTTCCTTTCCTGTTAACAAGCAACTCATACAGTTACACCAGTGATGTAGGATATGGGTGAATTGAGAATTTAGGTAGTTTAGCGGAAGCGAAAACAATGGAAAACAGAAAATAGAACAAACAAGGATAGGTCTGGAATCACTCCAGGGGTTTGGCTTCACACCAAGAAGTCTCCAATCTCAGGAAAATAAACTTTTCTTAATATCTCAACAACTGAATTTTAAAGAACTACATGGGGGGGTATTTATAGCAAATTAAAACCTAAAGACAATACGATAAAAATCCCTTACTAAAACAGAAATCCTAATCCACCAAGGAACTAATTCAAATAAACCAGGAAACTTAAATCAAATCCTACTAAAATCTGGAAACTAAAATCCTAGTGAAATCTGGAAAACTAGAGAATCTAGGAAACTAATAAATCAGGAAATTAACTAATGATGTCCGCATCAACCAGCGCACTTAAAAGCTTGCATACTCACGTATTCTTAAAGAAAATAAGTAAATAAAAACTTCAGAACTAAAACCTGAAAGAAGAAACCCTACCAGCTTAGCCCTGTCCTCTTCAGGGTCAAGCACTTCCTCATTTTCATCTCCATGAAACAGTTCTGGTGAAAATGATCCGGCCTCTTCCTCAGCCACGTCAATCTCCTCCTCCTCCTCCAAGGGTTCTGGAGAAAATGCTTGAGCATCTACACATAAAAATATATTAGCAAAATCATCTTGGTAACAAAATGCCTAAATCCACAGGTGAAAAATGTGCATACCTTTAACATCAAGCTCACTCTCCTCCTCTTCAGGTTGTAAATCATGAACTGTATCCAAGTTCTCTTCACCGTCCACCCGTTGCTCAAGGCGTTGCAAATGCTTGTGCAACATTTTAGTATGGATTTCTTTCAAACAAGCCTGTATTTGCAACAATTTAAATAGTAATAAGGCCAAACGAAGTAGTAGTAAATAAAATGCAAAGACATACATTAAAGAAGACAATGATAGGTACCTTGGCCTTGAATATATGGAGGCGTGTAAGAACAGCCTCCCAATACTCAACAACCTTGGCTGTTCCAGAACGCATCTGTGACTCAATTTTGGACTGTAACGCCTCCAATTCACTATAAGTCTTTCCTTCTAAGAGAGTCTTGACATCTGCTTCAATGCTAGAATGCAAGCCTCTTTGTTCCGCAAGCAACTCAGCAGGAGGTTCCTCTCCACGAACCTTAGCTCGAGCCAATGCATCTTTCTTCCGAGCTTCAGCTAGCTCCCAATCCGCAACCACCAAAAGTGCCTGTCAATTTGTACATATCAGGATACAGTCCAACAACAAATCTACATTATCACATTAATTCTTTTAAGCAACATTCACATTTAATCAACAAATCTTCAGGCAATCAAAATGAAGTGCAAGTAATCATAACTATGGTTTGCAGCTGGCCAAGTTGCAACCTTTCACGTGCCTTTGATTCTGAGATTCGCTAATTGAGTACAATTGAATTGCTAATCCCAAGACCACTCCACCGAAACACGTTTTTTTAAATTTAATGAAAAATAAAAAAAATTAACGAGCATCAACACTGCTATATGTTTAAGAGTCCCCACCACATCAACAGAGTAAGAATATTGAATTAATCAAACCAAAGGCAAAAACAGAAGACAACAACTTATTAGCATGACTATGAGTAATCTGAAGCACCCATTACAGGGGGTAAAGTATCCACGAAAAACACTGTCAAAGGTAAAAGGCCACTAAAAGGAAAAGAAAGAGATAATACCTCCCAGAACTCTATATGTGTTGGTGTTGCCCTGTCCAAATCAAGATGCATTTTGATGTCATCTCTTAGCTCTTCCATTTCCTTTACACTCAAGCCCTGCATCGGACATGTCAAATGCCAATGTGAATTATATTCATTTCAAAACAAATAAGAAAAGTTCAATCCATGTCATTCTAAAGTTTAACAATGTGCAAAGGACCATATAACAGCACTTAAACATACACACTGAACAATAGATAGACATACTTAGCTTTCCAAACATTTGACTAGTTACAACAAGAAGTTTTCCAACTAACACAGAAAAAACGGAAAAACTTAAGCTCAATGTTCATGTACCCAACTTCCATAATATATCTGTCTCCAAATGGAGAGCCCTGAAAGTGAGTGTATGAATTCTCCAAGGCGATAAGCACAAGTAGGGCCATACCCTTCCAGATAACTTACCCACCCATCCACACACACACACACGCATTTAAGAGCCCTGAAAGGAATATTTAATAACTCTCAGTTTATCTCCCACTCATTGTAGGGGACAGGTGCCTAATGATTTCCAAACTAAGTAAAGTTCAGAAGCAAATAAAATGCAATGAAGAATAAATAGAATTATCGTGATAGCAAGCATAAGTCTCATCAGGAAATTTTACCTTGAAAACCATGTATGGCTCATTTATCTCAATATCAAAATCATCTGAACCATTGAGATGCTTGGACAGTACATCAATTGGCTTAATACGCCCTTCACGCAATCTGATCTCTGACCTGACTTTGCTTTGATCAAAGTGAAACTGTACGGAGAACATGCAGACTTATCAAATTTCCGGGTAAAACAAAATGACAATAAAGAAAATCATGCAGACGAGAGCATCATAACAGAAAAATGTATGAAAAGTAGGCAAAAAAGAGAATGTTTATTGACCATACCTCTTCTTCTTTTTTCTCCCAGTCTTGGTACTCAGCCCGAGCACGTTCTCTAGCTAGCAGTGCCTACATAAAGATATGAAAGTTACTTAACAAAACAGCAAACAAGGCAAGAAGCTATATTAAAAATATCACTCCAAATGGCAAAATGCACTCCAACTCTCTACACTAAGAACTTGAACGGAAAAATTCATGCCATATCAGGCAATAAACTTACCATTTCTTCCTCATGTTGTGCTTTTTCAAGTGCTCTTTCTTCCCTTCTTTTCTTGACCTTTTCAACCTCAGCCTGCAAGATGAATTTAAACAAATATTAAAATTCTAATAAATTTAAACTAGAAAGTAGTAAATTAACAAAAATCCACAAAGAAAAATCCTGAGTTTTAGTCATAGACCAGGACATTCATTTATTTTGCAACCCCAGGCAGCAACATGGCATCGATAAACCATATTGGTCGTGGGATTTATTAAAAATAGTAACGAAGCCTATGGACCGTATTTATTCACTATAAAAAGATAAGTCTTTATTAAAATTCTAAGTCATTTAGTTTCTATTTTCTTTTCTTATTTAGCAAACTGCTTTAGCACATGCTCCACTAAAAAACTTAATTAACACATAGTTACTGACTAACGGCCCTAATGGGTTTTTCAACCTCAGCCTGCAAGATGAATTTAAACAAATATTAAAATTCTAATAAATTTAAACTAGAAAGTAGTAAATTAACAAAAATCCACAAAGAAAAATCCTGAGTTTTAGTCATAGACCAGGACATTCATTTATTTTGCAACCCCAGGCAGCAACATGGCATCGATAAACCATATTGGTCGTGGGATTTATTAAAAATAGTAACGAAGCCTATGGACCGTATTTATTCACTATAAAAAGATAAGTCTTTATTAAAATTCTAAGTCATTTAGTTTCTATTTTCTTTTCTTATTTAGCAAACTGCTTTAGCACATGCTCCACCAAAAAACTTAATTAACACATAGTTACTGACTAACGGCCCTAATGGGTTTTCTAGTCTTCTTGTTTTTATAAAACTAAAACTAAAGCAGGAGGAAAGAGAAGTCTTCCTTCTTCTAGAGCTGCTTTCAAAGGGTGATCCCTTTTAGCTAACTTCTTTAGCACATGCTCCATCAAAAAACCTCTTTAGCGCATAGTTAATGGGTTTTCTATAGTCTTGTTCTTGTTCTTTTTCTCGTTATTGTCTTCTTCTTCTTCTTCTTCTTGCTCTTTTTTATGGCATATCAGAAAGTTATCTAGAGTCAATAAACTAGATATGTAGAGCCAATGAAACCGAATATGTTGAGCCACCTATGGGTTAATCCTGGCCAAGGCACGGACTCTCTCTCTCTCTCTCTCTCTCTCTATATATATATATAGGTGATGAAGTTGTTCTGAAGAGATTAATATATGTATATAGGTATATTATACTGACACACTCTTAACAGTCAGGTAATAATGGATGACTATAATCTCAGTGACATGGTAAAAATAACCGTAGTCATAGTCTAAGACAACTTGCCATACTTCCAACTCTCCCTACACAATAAATGTGTCATCATATACATACATTACAGTCACCAAACAAAAAGACTAGCCTTAAAAAAAGGAAAGAGCCTTAGTCAGACATGCTTTGCTGCCAGGGTTTAGTTCCCATTTCATTCTTAATAATAAGGCCCGTGAACAACATATAGGAATGTAATTCTCTCTCCTATACCTCATGAAGACTATGATTCGATTTGATGTCTCTATAGTGCAATGCACAGACTTCAGTAGCTAAGCTTGTTAGTTCCTTTGTATTATATATTCCATCTTTTATTGCTACAACAACTTATGTTGATTCCAGTAACATAGATGTCATAAATTTCAATCAAACTCTCCAGGGACCTTCCAAAACTCAATAAAAATTATTTCCGCAACCTCAAATAAAAAACTATATCAGACATGTCCTTCAACTTATGTATCAGGCATTTTAACTGATTCAAACAAAAACTTTAATCTTACTTAATGCCTTATATAAGACCAGTAAAGCCATTGGATACAAGATAGCAAAAAGACAACAACTAGAAAAGAAACAACAAATAAGCAATGTTGGGCTAGAACTATGTACCATTCTTTCTCTCTGTCTTTTTTTCTCAGCCTTAACTGAAAACACTTCAAGGGGAACACCATTGGAAACATCACGATCAATCTTCTTTCGCCACACAAATCTGCAAACAGAAAGTCATGAATTCATAAATAGACCTTACAAACAATAAAGCATCCCTAACTTACACATCTGTCAGACTGTAAGCCATCATATACCAGACATATAGCTAAGCAACTGTAGCTGTATTCAAAACATTCAGATCCGAAACTTAGTAAATTCAAACAAAACACAATGAAACACAATAATAAAAAATGCTTCTATCAAAGTGCAACAAATTCAACATTTGAAATTGGAAAGATAAAAACTCTATCAGAAAACTTCCTCATATAAATCCCAAAACACAAAACAAAAACAAGAACTTACATTTCATTGAGATTGGAATCACCAAAGGGATTCGAATCATTTGAATAACCTGAAACGGTCTTAGACTTGATCTTCTTGGCTACTCGAGTTGCCTATTCAATCAAAAGGAAGCGCACCATACTATCAATAACAATTCAAATTTTAAAATAATAATGATAAATAAAAACCCTAACAGACGAAATAATAACCTTCTTCTGCGCCTTCTTAGCCAAGTACTCAGCGATTTGATCCTCGGTAACGTTCTTCGACCTCTTCTTCTTGCCGTCACGCTCTTCAGTCTCATCGCTGTCGTACGACTCGTCGTCGGAAGAGTCCTTCCGGCGTCCGCTGCGGCGGCTGCTATTTCTGCTACGGCGGTGTTCCTTGCCCTTACCGGAACTCCTCGGAGGAGAAGAGTCGCGGCTGTCAGAGGCATCGGACTCGGAATACGACTCGGACTCCGAATCGGACTCGGAGTCGTCGGATCTTCTTCTGCGTCGACTCTTGGAAGACGACGACGCGTCCTTTTTGCTTTTGCTGCGTCCGTGAGTGCCCATACTTTGGCGGTAATGATTTTTAGAGGGGTTTGGGTTTATGTAGCGAACGGATATACGACTAAAATTATGGCTAGTTAACCGATTGAAATCATGGTGTGTTTTATAATGAGGAATTGAAATCCGAATGAGGAAAGAATTTTAATTATGAGAATTTTTGTGTTTATTTTACATTCAAAACACACCCCAAGGGGGGGAGCTCTCAAACACTTCTCTAGAGCTCCCTTCCCTTCTCTCCCTCAAATTCTCTTAGTTTCTCTTTCTAGTTTTCAATTGTTATAATGAGATCTTTGTGCTGAAATTTTCCTTTAAGTCTTTCCAAGTTCTACTTTAATTTTCATTGTTATGTAAATTCTTTTCTTTAGTTTCAAGTTTGATTAGTTTCCAAGTTTCAATTATGGTTTTTGTTCTTATTCATTATGCTTATAAGTTAATAGGCTAGTTTGGATGATTGATCACCATTTAGGCTTGCATGTTAGCTATCTTGGTTTGAATTAAGAGTAGACACCATGCTTTAATTCGAATTGAACTATGAATAAGAAGAGTATGTATGGACATTCGACAACAGGGATTAGATACATGCTTGGTTGTTTAAATTGTTCTTCTATGCTTAATGGGTTCCTAATGCTTAGTTTTAGGTTAGACAACAAATGATCAAATTAGGGAATTAGGAACACAAGGTTATGACCAAACACCATGGCTTAATCATACTTTAGCTAGAATCAATCCGTTAATCTAATTGAACTTGGGAACTTATTTGCTTGAGTTATTTCATTCTTTCTTGTTTTATTTATTTTCTTTTTTTCATTTCTATTTTGTGTAGGGGAAACAAATTGGATCATTCAATCACCAATCCTCGTGGGATCGACCTCGCACTTACATATGCTATACTACCAAACGGCTCGTGCACTTGCGAGTATCACAAGTTGAGGATACAGCTGAATCCATTTTGGTGCAGCTGAATCGAAGCAACAAGGAGGTGTTTTTGGTGGGCCCGGTATTAGCAATCCCATCTAAGACTAGGATTAGATAAAACAAACATGGTACTAAATTTAGTCCAAGCCAGTCCAAGCCAATTCTGTGTACCAAACGAGCCCTAAGTGGATTAGGAGGAATTGAATTGAGGGTGAATTGAATTGAGGAGGATATAGATTGAGGAGAATTAAACTCTGGATCCTTATTGAAGTTGTTTACTAAACCATATGGATTGAGGAGAGTTATATTCCGGATTTCTATTGAAGTTGTTTACTAAATCATATGGAATTGGGGTAATAGTGGTGCTAATTACTCAAATATCATCGTTGTTGGGTTAAAGTAGATGGCAAATTTTGAATTTTTAAAATTGTGTGGGGATATAATGGGTAAAAAAGATGAATTCATAATGGGCTAGTTCTCCATGAATTAAAATATCACTTTCCACCCCAAAATTGAATTCCTCCAAAATCAAGAATTTAATTCCTAATTTTGTGTGGGCTCCACTTATTTTTTAGGATGGTGTATTCAATTTAGATTTTAAATTATTTTTAAAGAGTTATAAAGTTGATGGAGTTTAATTGAATTTAATTGAGTTTAACTGAATTCTCCAAACTCCACATGGATTTTCTCTGAATTCGTGTATAGATTTTAACTGAGTTTGTTAGAGTTTTATTATTGATTTTAATATATATGGAGTTTATAGCACCCAAAAAACAAAGGATTTAGGGGTGATGACGGTGGTTGTGATGACGATGGCGGTGACAATGGTGGTTTGTGGGTGATGGTGGGGGAGGTAGTGGTGGAGGAGGTGGGGGTGGTAGTGGTGGTGGTAGTGGCTGTGAGGTGGTGGAAGTGACTATGGTGGTGGTGACGGTGGGGATGATGGTGTGATTAATAGTGGGGGTGGTAGTGGTGATGGAAGTGGGGGTAAGGGTGGTGGTGGTGTAGGCGGTTGCGGTGGTAGTGATGGTGATGGTGGTGGGGGTGGTGGTAGTGACCGTGGGGTGGTGGTGAGGGCGGCAGTGGGTGGTGGTGGAGGCAAAGATTTTTCATGGCCTATAATTAGTCTATAATCAAATGAAATCCACCACTTTTTGTATTTCCTTTCAAATCAATGAGTTTTTGAATACACCTAAACTTTTATGAAGTCTTTTAAAGTTGTGATTGAATACATCCAAATTTGAATGGAGTTTAAAAAGTTTGAATTGAATACACCCATAATTGTATAGACTTCTACAAAATCATGATTGAATACACCCAAACTTTTGAACTTCTTTAAATTCTTTTAAAATCTAAATTGAATACACCCCCCTTAATTTCTTGATGTGAAGTAAACGCAGGAATCCTCCATAGGTGGAATTCAATTCCTGATTCGAATTCCAATTCTTAATTAGTAAACACACCAAAAAGTAAGGAGTTCCTCTTAGGAATACCACTGTGTTTAGAGGAATTAAAATGTGAGTGGGACACACATAAAATTAGGAATTCAACTCCTAATTTTGGAGGAATTGGACTTTTGAGTGGGAGGTGGTATTCTAATTCCTCGATAATTAACTCATTAGGAATTCATTTTTCTTACACATTATATCCTCACAAAAATTTTAACATTTCAAATTTATCATATATTTTAACCCAACGAGGGCATTTTAGTAATCAATTTGGTTTAAATTCCAATTTATGAGAATTTAGTAAACAACTTATAAGGAATTAGTATCACTATTACCCCAATTTCATATGGTTTAGTAAACAACTTCAATAGAAATCCGGATTCTAACTCTCCTCAATCCAACTCCTCATTAATTCAATTCCTTTTAATTCGATTACGGATTAGTAAACATGTCATTAGAGTCGAGGTTGAATTTGAAATATTTCTAAAGCCCAGTCCAATTATAGAGAGGCCCAATACTGGCCCATCTTTATTATTATATTTTTAAATAAAACGCAGGAAAATGGTGCCTCAAGAAGTGTGATTTGCTTTTGGATTTCAAAGGTCTTGCCGCTAATATTAATTATATATATACATAACAAGAAGAATGTGTGGAAGGGGAAATTTTGTATGATTAAACATCTTGACATGTTTATTATTATGTTAAGTTTCGGCTTTGCCTTTTAGAGAGTGAAGAGCCTCCCTAACTAGAATTGGAGCTTGATATGGAAGCTCAAAGCCTTTCGTGTGGCTTTTGGAGCTGCATTCCTTCTTGTTGTAGTCTAGTTGAAGGAGTTGCTTCATTCCTTCATGTTTCATGTTGTAGTCTACACAAAGCAAGGGCAAAACAAAAAAGAAGAGAGAGAGAGAGACGTCGAGGAAAATAGCCAACGTTGCTTGAAAATCCTGAGCTCTACTCATTTGAGGGTAAAATATGAATCTACAACCAGAAGTTTTCAAAGCCCCTTTGTGTCTTCTGTGTCAGTCGATAAGCTTATGCAACAGAAAATTTAAATCAAAACATGCCAAAATACTAAAAGAATTTGGTTCCAAAACCCCAAAATATTAAGTTCCAAAACTTTATCACTTCTATCGTTACTACTAGCAAGGAAACGTTTAATGTTCTATAAAAGAAAGAAATTACTCTGCTGTGAGAAGAAAACTAAAAAACATTGTGATGGGCCAAAGACCGAAAAGGTGCCAATTAAATATAAAAAATTATCTCCTGAAGCTTGAGCAGCAACAAAACCTCTAACCATGCCCGCCTGCAGTTGCGTTTTTCAGTTGACCGCAACCTCAGCGGAGAGAAAACCAGGATGAATGGCATCTTTGTTAGACACTTTAGTCTTGGAGATCTTGAGCACCTGAACAGCTTCTCCCACTTTGGCATCCAAAGACTCTGGTGACTCCAACAAAAGCAGCAGTTCTGAGTTGTCCATCTCCAGCAGCATCCCTGTAATTTTTGAGGCAAGGTCGGGCTGCAAGTGAAAATGCTAACTTTAAGTTACTGTCAATAGCCTTGTGGATGGAGTAATAAATCTGAAACTTACATCTTCCATAGATGAGAAAAAAAAAAATTAAACATCAATGTGGTAAAAGTATCACCTTATGTTTATGGACGAGTGGGTAGAGATGCTCGCCAAGTATCTGTTTCTGCTGCTCAGGAGAAGCAGCAGCAAGCATGCTACTCAGCATCTCTGGTCCTTGAGACCCACCTCCAACAGAATTGGAAGCATTAGTTGAGACTCCTGATCCTTTATTCATGTCGTGTTGGCGACCATTAGGAACATACTTAGCCTGTACCGGCCGCTGAAATGCATGGATTACACGGATTAGAACCTCAAGAGTAACAGACACAGAGGATGGAAATATTATTCATTTCATTCCTAATCCTCCCAAGACTATTAAATTTGTTGGTTTCTAATCTTCATTTTTTTCTATTTGCAGGTCATATGCAAGGCCTGACCATCAAGTAGTACGTGTGGTGAGCAATGAGTGACCAGAGCTTGTTAGTAAAAGAAAGCAAACCTGCTGATTGTTTGAATCTTTTGCTGAGTGTGACAGATGAGTGGATTGTTGTAAATGTGGCATATATGCACTTCCCTGAGGAAGCATATGCCCGTTCATTCTTCCCCTGTTTTGCCTATGTTGTCTTGGCATCTGTAGATGAGATTTTTAGTAGCATAAGCACTTGGCCATAATAATTCCCAAATTTTTCCCAGACACACAATTTATTGTGCATGAATGTGTTAAAAAAAAAACAGATTGCATTAAAATATGGTATGCAGATGACCTAAAATAACTGGAAATAGGCAGAATGGTACTCACAACAGAAACCGGTGGTGGTTGATAGGCTGGCCCAGACGAAGGTGCAAAGCCGTTGGCTCTCCATCCTGGCCTCAATCCCAAGGGCTGATACATCAGTCCCGGACGAGGAGGTACTTGTGGAACAACACCAGAGGGAGCTTGATAATAGATAGGAGGGTATCCACCAGGGATGACTGCTGTTGAAGGACCAGCAAGTCCTGCCATACGCTGTGCATATTGAAGCTGCAGCTGTGCTTGTCTTTCCTCTTTCCTTTGAGCAATAGCCACATACAATGGCTTCCGATGAAACATATATCCTGTGAGATACCAATGGCAAACTTATTAGCAGTTCAAAGAAAGGACGACATACAACTTAAATTTAAGCCTGTAAGAAGACATTAATTGAAACACAACTTAAAAAATGTATGCATAAAAGTCAAAGAACACAAGTTATTTTAAAATTGAAGGAGGAACACAGAATGTCTACATGCTAGTTTCTTATGAACAATCGTAATTAAATATCAACTAAGGAAGGTTACCATATGAAATTTTTTAGCTTAAAAAGCTCAAATGCATGCAATCAACTTATTACCGTGAAAAGTATTCACAGCCTTATTGCCCTCCTCAGGGGTAGAGAAGCAAACAAAACCAAACCCTTTGCTTATTCCTTTCTCATCTCGCATAATCTTTGCAGAAGTAATTGTGCCACACTGACTGAAGTGTTCTACCAGCTCTTCATCAGTGACATCATCATCAATGTTCTTCACATACACATTTGATCCCTACAAATTAAACAAAGATTAGATGCTACTAAAATAGACCTTGGGAGAGAAATGGGGAAGAAAACTACCTTGAATTTCACCATTTGCTCCTTTCGTTTCTCCTCAAATTGCCGACGCAACATTTGCTCACGCTCTGCCTTCTTCTGTGCCCTTGCTACATACAGAATCTTGGAGCCTACTCAATATATAAACCACAGGACCAAAAAAAAGAGTTCCTGTATCAGGAAATGCATCCATATTTCCAATTAATTAAGGCCATAAAAAAGATACCTAACTTACCCAGTTGTGATCCATTCATTGCCTCCATTGCTCGTCGAGCATCATCTGGGTTGTCAAAGTTTACAAACCCAAAACCTCTAGAGTTCCCATTGTCATCCTTTGTAATAGCGAAGCTAACAATTTTCCCAAACTCGGAGAACTTTTCCTCCACAAGCTCTTCCCTGACATTTGTATCCAAATTCTTCACATACAAATTTGTATATTTCACATCAGGATTGGCCAAAACTCGATCGCTCTTTCTAATAAATTTGGCAACATACCTGTGACATGAATTGTAATTCTCGCATGGTTAATATCCAGAGACAAGAAAAAGGAAAACGTAAAACCAACAGGAAGAATTCATACACAAACACACATGTATCAGTGCATATGAACTGTGTTATAAATAAGAAACATTTGAACAAAATATGGAGCAAGAAAAGAACAGCACATACAGAGGTTTGTCTCCCACAGTGGAGCCATTTAGCTTCTCAATAGCAGCAATTGCAGATTCCTCAGACTCAAACTGAACAAAGCCATAGCCTTTACTCTTCCCATCATCAAACGTGGCGACTTTGCAAGACAATATATTTCCAAATTTCTTAAACATATCTTGAAGCCCTACATTATCAATCGATTCGCTCAAGTTCTGCAACAGATCACCAAAATGGTTTTACCATAAGTTCTTACATCAGAGAAAAGATAACACCTACGACTTACAGTTAATGCAACAGAACATACCTTGACAAACACATTCCCAATTCCACTTCTTCTCGCATCAGGATCACGATGCGACCACATGACCCTTATAACCTTTCCATGCACCTCAGAGTTATTCTTCACGTCAATAGCTCGAATTGCTATTAGAGAAAAATCAAATAAGCTCAATTAGATTAAAATTAAGACAACATACAGTGTAAACCACCGAAAGAAAAACTTAATACAAAACTCAAAATTTTCAATTTTTTTTTCTCCTCTGTAACTTTTCTGTTACCAAACAGATCAATCAAGAAATGGCAAACAGTGGAACGACCAAATAGATCAAAATTACAGAAATATTGTTCATCATTTTTCTATTTCATAAGATGGATTTCCAATAGCAAACAAGAATCTTAGCTCAAAACACCACACAATTGAAAAAATTTTAAAAAAAACTCAACTAAATAAAAAACTAATTCGTTCACATAACAATGGTACAATCCAAGTCTCAGTAACCAAACGGAGCAGCACCAACCCAAGTCTTTTCCTTTCTCACGAAAGGACAACATAAAAAACAAAATTAAAAAAATTTACCTTCTTGCGGGTTGATGAAGTTGATGTAGCCGTAGCAGAGAGAATGGCCGTCGGTGGAGTCCCTACAGATCCGTACGGACGTGATGGACTTGAACTGACTGAAAGCATCGTACAGCTGACCATCGGTGATGTACGGATTAAGGTCTCCGACGTACAGCGACGCAGTCGGCACACCCACCGCCAGAGGATTAACGGCCATGATCGAACCAAACGTACAGAGAAAACTGAAAGAAGAAAAAAAACGGAAAAACAAAAAAAGACAGAGCCTTTTTCAAGCCCTCAGGGAACCGATAAATAACAATGCTCGTTGCGATCGGTGCTCTGTGTTTTATTAGAGGTTCTGAATCAAATCGGCGTTTCTCTTGATTGTACAGTAATTGCACCAAAAACACAGAGACAGAGAGAAAGAAAGAGAGTGATTTTGATGAGTGTAGAGAGAGAGAATTTTGGAAGGAAATGGAGATTTCTTTTTTTGTTTTTTGTTTTTTTTTGTTTTTGGGGAATTTTAGAGAGAAGGACACTGACTGTTGATGAGGAGTTTTTGCATGGGAGAGTAGGGGGACTTTGTCACAAGGATTCATTCGTAGGGGTGGGGCCCGCCTCCACGCGCGGACTCGGCCCGGGGAATTTACGCGCCCGTCTCACTGAAAACAATGTGACGTTTCAGAATCAGGAGTGCGATTTGGTTTTACCACGTCAGCAGTCATGCATTATACACAGCGAGTGTAGTTGGACGCGACGCAACAAAAACATCTCCGGAGTTGAGTTGTTGGCGGGGTTTGTTTTGTTTTTATCTTGAAATTTATGGAATTTTAAAAAACATTTGGTAATATAATTTTTTTTAAGGAATGTTATTTGTTTTCTAATATTGATCATTACTTTTAACTCAAAAATATATATATAGATCATTGCCACTTGCCAAAAAAAAAATTCAGTAATTTTAGATTATGTGTGGAAAAAGAAATATAAAAATAACAGAATTTATAGAAAGTTTACAAGAGTGTGTTGACTGCGACAAAGGATTATCTTAATTAGGGCGCGACAATTTTAAGAAGACTTAGATGGAATGTTTAGCTTCAACTTATTTAATCAAATTAACGCTTTATGCAATTAAGACGATATAAACACTAAAGTGATTAATGCTTTATTATCATCTACGCATTTAACATTGTGAGTGGATATGATGATGTGATTACATGAGAAATTATATTTTCATGTTCGAGATTAGACAAGAATTGCAAATAAAAGTAGCTATTTTGATAAGAACTTTGATGTTGAGTTGAGTTAGATATGATGTCAAACTAATCTATATATAATTGGCAGATAATAAAGGAATAATGACAATTAAAATATTATTTTTTAGAAAGAAAAAAAAAATGGTGCTCCTCCTAATCAGACGACCAAGAATAGAACCATGGAAATAGGTCACACGTGTGGCCCAAGAGCTTATGAGACTGCTTCAAAGCTGCGAAAAACGCTTCACGCAACATATTCACAAAAAAGACAATTCTTCACAGGGATTTTCGGCATCTTTCACAACCAGAATTTTAACCCAAGGAACGCCCATTTTCACGGACACAATCCTCACTGCTCACTTATTTTCTCCTATTTATTTGTTATTTTCAATTGGTATTTGGTTTTACGACTAGGAGAAAAATTTACATATAACGAGTTCATGTAATCTCACTCGAACGAGTAATCGTAAATAAATTATTCATAAGAGGTGGAACTTTACAACGAATTTTAATAGGTCCATATAACCTCATCACATGATGTGATGAAAGAGACAGAGGGGTTACCCATCACCAACACTAGTTTTCATTGCATTGCTTAAAATATCACTTTACAATTACATTGACATTTAGATGAGGAAGTTATATATGGTACCGTACAAGGACCTACAGCTATGAAGCTGTGACAAAACTGCATGGGTCACACGATGTATTGAAATTAAAGAACATTAGTGTCTTTTCCTTTTGGGTCATAATACTTGTGCTTCATCAAAAACAAGTCCATATTAAATAATTTGTTTGGGGATTCATATGATTACAACTCCTTAAGTGCAATTCAACTGAATTAATTTCATTATAATTTACAAAAATGGGGTTCAAATTTAATCATCATCAAAACTACAACACTCACACAAATGCACAAAATACTTTTGAGTTGTCTCCAACATTTGCACCCAACAACAGTCAACTGTCTTCTTAATCTCTGTGAGAACAAAACATGTGACAACAAGAAGAAGAAACTCTGAAACTTTTTTTGTTTCAGCTCTGTACAAATTGAACAGCTTGGAATGATCAAGTAAAAATAGTAAACAAAAATGACATTTGACTCAGACAACATACAGAATTTCTATATGCCTAGCTACAATTGCTTGCTGTGCTTCCACCGGCCACAAGTTGATGGTACAAAGAAAAATTTACAGTTTGAAGATGGTTCCCCCCAATTCAGCAAACCTTCAAGTCAGAAGAAAGATGGTTCCCCCCATTCAAACAAATCAGAAGCACATCATACTGATATACGTTGTTGTGACCCCTGGCGCTCGGCAATACACATAACAGCAGAAGGCCAACTGATCACTATTAATAAAGATCAGCCGATCCAATACACTTTGAAAAGAGAATCGAAATCTGAGGTTTAAATTACAGAAAATGGAACTCCACAAACACCAATATGTGCATCAAGAAAACCACAATTCCTGTTGTTAGCAGCTTGAATAGCATGTCTCCTGATGAGCTGCTCTCACTCAGCTGTCCTGCATTGATATACTCGTCTTTGCTAGAAGTTACAGAGACATTTACAGACAATGAGCCTGAAAAAGAGAAATTTTCAAAATATGACAAAGGTGCTGAGGGGAACTTGAAAAATACGGACTCATAATTGAACTTACAATCATAGTTAGCCCATCCAATCCGTTGATGAGCTAAATCATACACGAATATCTTATCTTTTAGAACAAGATCTGCAAGTGAAGAAACAAAAAAGGTCATAAGATGGCACATATATCATTAAATTAAGCTGTACAAAAATAACTCCAACCAATATCAGTAAACTTTTGTCCATAAAAATTTAATAACCAGACTAAATTCAGGGTCTAACCTCCTAAAATTGTCACCCCTCCCTGAACCTTCTGAAAACCAATGCACCACACAGCAGCACCTTCCTGTAACAATAGAATGACTCATTACACTTATGCCATACAATTTGCAAAAATCATGTCTAATGCAATGACTTTAAATAAGAACTTTTACCGAGGGAGATGGAGGAACAACTTACACTAGAACCAGTACGCATGAGGTATTCTTCGGGTTTCAACACCATTGATGCACCAGCGGCAAAGTTTAGACTAACTGGAGGAAATACCTCAGCCAAACTGAAACATAAAATGGACCTAAATGTCATTCAGGTTTTTATATTATATTATATATATAAAATAAAAAAGAGAGATAAACATGCCACTATTATGCCCACCCTCCATAGCTTTTCTGCAGAGGGAACTTAACAAATATTCAGAGATAGAACCAACCTGGTGGAAACAAGATAACACTGGTTTCCTTTTGAAATGATGGGAGTCACAGATTGTGAAACAGCTGAAGTTATCTACACATCCAAACACAAAATCAGCTTTTACTAAGGAGAAGATATCTTATTTTAATAATAAAATACTCTTGTTCAGACCAAACACAACATCCGTTATGTTCCTCCCAATGCTGATTGTTCCCATGCTATATATTCACTAAAAGGAAGTCTGAACTCAAATAGAAAGGAAGGAGCAGATATTGCACAACAACATCAAAGTCAAGTTGGCCCCAGACAGAAACTAGAATGAGAGATGAAATGAATGGAGAAGACAGAAAAGGAAGTCACAATGGGAAGTGAGTTTAATTTTGTGCCTTAATAATAGGAGCTTCTGTCCATGAAATTTCATCATAAACCCAGACAAAAGGTTAATGATGAATAACCCACTACCAAAATGACCTATTTCATCCCAATGCTAAAGATGAATATAATTAAGTGAATCATCGAACCAAACCAAGTGAATAAACTTACAGCACTAACAAAAGGATCGTAAGCTTCTTCAACAAGGTATGTCAAAGTTGTTCCTGAGTCAACAATAGTTCCTCGGCTGTTTGATGTGGTGAAGGCTGCTGGATCAATTGGCAATATTTGCCCATTGACAGCAATGCTCTGCAGATTTAAATTATAATGCTGCCTGAAAATAGTAAATTAGGACTCAGTTGCATTAGCTGAATAAAAAAATAGAAACTCATGAAAATTTTCAATAAATAGTGAACATTACAATACAGCAAAAGTAAACATGCAGTGACATGAAATCTAGAAAATAAGGTTGCACATAAGTAATTCAATTTTTACAATTAAAAGCAAATATCTGAAGTAAAAACTGGTGTAGTTGCCATCCCCCTCCCCGCAACCCACACCAAATGGGCAATCTGCCTGATGAGTCCCAAAACTGGCCCAAATCAGTGAAACAATAATACATCATCTAAGTAGAAAACAAAGCATTATATGATGGGGATGAATGATGATGAACCCTATCAAGTCTGAGCAGAATAGGAATGAATTAAGACATTTTTCACAACAGAAATTGAGCTGCAGTAGGTAATCCTTATATTCCTTGTTGGTGGACTGATATTTAACCCTCTTATTCCAACCATGCAGACTCGAAAATAATCTCCGTGCTAATATCAAATAGCTAAGAACTAAAAGTCTAAAAAGCCAAAAGTGACATGACTCAATGTTAAGTTAGAACATCCAACCCTTAGTGTATAAATTAATTTCATATTCAAGGTCCATCAGTGGCCAAATAAATTATGCGTACAGATATAGCAACACAAAGGCACGAAAATAACCTAAACTGGGTTATACTTATATCTTTAAACTTCCCACTTCATAAAATTCACAGTTTCATAGTAAAGATTACAACCAGAAATAAATAAGAGAAATTCCAACGGGATAGAGACATACTGTGATGGAACAAGGGGACTATAAACAATATTTGGCTCCAAAATCTCACCAAGAACAAGTATACCTCCTCCATTGCCATCTCCCTTCAAACAATGAGAGAACACTTTGGGAGTTACCCCTCGAGATGACAACTGTGATATAACAGACAGAGCCCCTTGCCCGAACCCAAATATCCCATCCACTGCTTTATCTGTCTTGGTAAAATCCCCAGACTGATAGGTACTACACCTGTTTCCAACACGATCAGCCAAGGAAATAAGCTTCAATCAACAGAAACAACATGAACCTTAATGTAGGCATCTAAAGGCAAATTTAAAAAGTTATGATGATATAAGATGTGTCATTACTCTTGTTTATTCAGAAAAGTTTTATGATTATGCAACAGGTTATTAAAAAAGACACACCACTCTTATAATCAGAGAAATTCTGCATAATTAATTATTGTTGTTCTGGCACATGACATACTTATTGTTATTAAAGGAGCATAGTCATTATTACTGCTAAACGGTGAGGCCTGTCAACCATGCCATTTCAAAATTTATGGTAACTATGGATAAGCTATATACTATCATAAACAACAATTTTTATTTTATTTATTGAGAAAAATAAAACAATCTTCATAGATAGTTACTATTTTTTTTCTTTTTCCCTCTTTCACGCTTTTCTCCTATTTTCGTCAATGGTTGGTTTCCATTCCACATTTTTATCCACACATCATCTCAGTACAAGTTAAAACAGCTCACCCGAAAACAACGAATGCTGAAGAGTTAGCAATATAAGACTGCCCCAGAATCATGTCAAAATATAGCGCATCTGATACGTAATAACCAGTTGTCCCACTTCCATCTCCATATTGAAAAGTGTAACTGCACTGATTACTCTGAGGAGAGCATTCGGTTGATGAAGTTTGAAATGAGGAGGTGCACATTGGGTCTGAACAGGGGATCAGCCCTGCAGTTGACGAGCTGGCAGAATCATATAAATTGAGCTCAATCTGTAAAACATGGAACATTAGATTGTTAAGCTTTGAATTGTCTCTTTACTCAGCAAGATTATGAGAATGACACAAAGCAAGAAAAATAAGCAGAAGTTTACTCCGAGTCCACTAGACTGGGGGCAATCACTGCAGGAATTGCAGGTAATCCACAAGATGTCACTTCCAGTATCAATCTGAACATTGAATTCTTTTGGCGGAGAGCCCAATTTCACTTTGGTAAAATAAAGCCTGGATAAAAACCAATATAGAAGAACCGAAGATGAACAAAAGTCATTAACTTGATATACAACACTGGACCAGAAAGGTGCCCATGATGCTCTATCTTAATTAGAGAAAAAAACAGAAGAGAACTGAATAGAAACAAGAAAAAGATACATACACAAAAGATCCATCGACCCTGGTTGAAAACAACACCCAGAAGCAAACAGCAAAAAGCCAAACTTGGTCAACATTTTAAACATAAATTATTAAAAAGAAATTATATATTTCTTCAAATTGCGTACTCTAAAAACCCATCAATCATCAAGCACCGGGTCTCCGTTTGGTCGCTAAGAAAGTACGGAACAAGAACTCATTTGTAAAGGAACCGAAACAGCAAGAATTAACAAGACTCAAGCCTTTTCTTTTTTTTTCTGTTTTTCTTTCCTTTTTCCACTTTCTCAGCAACCAAACGGAGCTAGAAAAGGAAACTGGACAAAATAAATAAACACCCGTGTACACAATAAATGCTTACCCAAGTAAAAAGCATTAACAAAGACCCAGAAGAAAACTCAACTCACACAAGAATATATACCAATTTGAGACAAACCCATTAAAAGCTTCATACAAGAACATTAAAGATAACCCCCAGATGATAAAATTACCCGACGAGGTAGGGATCGGAGGTGCCTTCGACTGAGAAGTCGACAACGCCGCCCGCCACGTTTTGCAAGAGCCGGGCGTGCCTGACTCGGTCCCGAGCTCGGAGGTGGTCGAGTTGGACTCGGTGACTCGGCGGAAAGGCCCGTTCTAGAGAAAGAAAGGTGGCCGGCAAGCCACAGTAGACAACAGAGAGAGACAGCAGCACGGCGACGGAGGCCAAGATCGGAGCTTTGAAGACCCGCATTTCTGCGAAACGGTGCGTTTGAGTTGCCTGAGAGGGAAAATTTAGTGGCGAGGATCGAGGTGGTGCTGGTTTTTCTTGCTTTTGCGCATTGAGAGAGAGGGAGACTGTCAGAAGCAGTGTGAGAGAGAGAGAGTGAGAGAGAGAGAGAGGGAGACAGAGGGAGGCTTTGCTGCTTAAACAGAACTTTGGAACCAGTTTAATGAGAAATGAGTTGGGCACCCCAGTACAAAGGCTACAAAGACGATTTTACCCTTCAATTGCGGCTACTAGCCATAGAAGAAGGGATAAATGAATGCAAGGCGTGAGGGTAATTATGTACATGCATAAGTGTTTGTAATTTTCATACGTTGAGAAATTGGTTTAATCTGAAATTTTAATTGAAGGAGTAAAAAGATGGGTGGAAATAGCGAAAAGGCAATGACCGATTTTCCAGGTGACAAGACTGTGTTGGTCCGTCCACGTACGGCTCACTGCGTATTCCGCACGCTTTTTTTGACCGTTAGACGACCAGCGAAGAAAGCCACGAGCCCGAAAGTCGGTACGCTCGTAACTGTTGGCGGGTGTCGGACACACGCTCTTCGTGCGCGTGGGATTGTGATCGTAAAGGAAAATTGGGGATGTGGATTATAGCGAAAGGGAAATGTTAGCCGTACCTCAGGATGTCAGACGACAATCATAGACAAAGTACCATTTTTTCCACAATAATAATTACGTTTTTTAATCTTGAAGATTACTAAAAATTTCAAGAGTTTTTAATCATCTATTCAAGATAGTAGGATTATAAGTTGCGAGATGAAAGTGCCAACCAATCGATCAATAATAATCATCCATGCGAGCGCTGGTGGACGACAAGAGTACACAAGTGTCGTTTGATTAGCACTCGCATCTCGTATTAACTTCACAATATTTATCAAATATTGGAGAGTCTTTGAGTCGAAACAGAAGCCAGCTTTTGTGTTGAGATCTAATCTCTTTTGATTGTTTGTTTTTAAGGTAGAGCTATACTCTTTAATTTGAAATCTTGAATTGTGCATGCTGTCATGCTAATCAAATGTAAGTTGTGGAAGGTGAATTATAAAATGTTTGTGCTATAAGAAACCCTTTCATTCTGTCAAAAAGAAAAAAGACAAGCAACCCTTTCGTAAGAAAAGCCCGGGAAAATACTAAGAATTTTTTTTATTTTTTGGGTTGGTAGGTGTAAATGTAGAAATTGACATGGAGCAAAAAGTCACAACTCTAGCCAGCTCAACTCCAAATCAATTGTGGATCTTTAAATGAAGGGGGTTGGATGAAAGCGAGAGTTCTTGACAACGTGTCAAGTCTTCTTCGTCTTCACAAACCCTCAATTATATGTTATTGTCATTAAACCCAAATTCTAAATTGTAGAATTTAACTAATAGTGTGAATTCACAATTATTTATATACGTATCAGCGAAACTAATGATATGAGATTGATTAAGCAAATACATAGTTCAAAATCAACCATAACTACTCATGCACGTATGGACGGAGAAATACTTCTCTATTTCTGTTTCATTGTCTCGTTTTCTTTATCTTTCTTTTCATTTCACTTATTAGAGATATAGAGACAGGGACAATGAAATAAAGGTAGGGATGTTTTTTCTCGCGTGAGCGAGGTTTTTGCTAAAACCTCTTAATATATAAAATTAGTTAATTTCAATCGAGAGAGATTTCTTCACGGACTGTCTTTCTTCCTGATCCCCTGCCTTAGCCATTTAATCTGCCTCATTACATTGCGTACTTAAAAGCATAATATCCTCAAGACGTTTTACAATTTCCATCAACCAAATTCTTTAATAAATCTTGACTAACTAGCCGTGTAAATTGCAATAAAATAAGATTGCTTTTCTTGTTGACACATCATTTACTACAAAGAGCAGTCTTTCTTTACATTTGAAAATTGACGTGTCTATATATATATGAAGGAAGGTTCCCACTCATTTAAAAGAAAATTAAATGGATGGGGACTTTTGTGATGATGACAATCGCATCCCCTCCACGTTAAACCCACATCATGCATGACAAGGAAGTATATTCGTTTATAAGATTTGCTTAGGTTTGTATTTGAATTGAAATGGAAAAAAATATACGGGCTTTATGGATTTCAACTTTAGCTTTCAATATAAAAAGGGGTTTAGAAGGGCCATGGTATTGGAAGGGAGTTTGTTGCCAATAGGATGGCTTTTTGTTGTGCAAGTCCCTTTTGCTATTGCAACTACCACTATATATTTGTACATTTCACACGACAGCAAAGTACCATTTTGACTCTTTTTTTGCACCCTCTTTGTTGAATGCTTTGCTTTCACAAAAAAGAAAAGAGGATTTCCATCTTACATTTCATAGAGTAATTTAAGAGAGGTTGTTAAATTTCAAAGAGACATGTCAGCGGCCCATTACTAACAACATCGATATTATCCCTAACTTAACCGTCTACAAAGACCAGTAAGTGTGGAGTTTTATCACAAAAGGCCTCGGTTATATTAGTAGTGGAACCATTCATTATATATTGTATTTTATTTAGTTAAGTTTCCGTTGTGTGACTTATATTCTTCAACAGAGGTAACATATTTCACACATTTGCTAACAACATAATGTGATTGTCGCTTGTAGCAATCATAATAATTTCGTAAATCAGGTTTCTCTTTTTACTTGAATTCGTGCCATCCTTTTAGATTTTGGGTTTGCATCAAAATCTTTAATTATGTAAGTTGTTGTAGGAGTAGATTTGTTAGCTCCTTCAATTCAAAGCTTGATTCTTGTAAATTCTTGTGATTTTCTTACTTTTAGATTGAACTTGTTGCCCTCCACATATATTCTAACATCTTACGAAAGTTTTATGGGTTCCTTTTCTTTTTTATGGGTAATACGAAAAAAGAGGAAGGGACATATGCTCCTACGTCTCTCTTGTCATTATCAAATCTATCACCTTCTAAAAATTAACAATTAACCACTTGAGAGTCCTAATGTGCTCAAAACTTGTTCACTAGATAAATTGGCTGGTGATTTACATCTGTTTGATGGCTCCTTGATGTTCACAACAGAAGAACTTTCATGTGCTCCTGTGCAGATGCTATTGGAAGGAGTTGTCATGGAACAATGTACAAAGCTATGCTTGACTCAGGTCCTGTATTGGCTATGAAATTGCTAAGGGAGGGTATAGCAAAACGAAGAAAAGAATTTGCAAGAGAAGTAAAGAAACTAGGAAACATCAGACATCCAAATCTAGTTTCTCTGCTCGGTTACTACTGGGACCCAAAAGAGCATGATAGAAACTGATTATATCAACTTATCTTAATGCACAATCGTTGGAATTCCATCTCCATGTAAGATTTTGTTATCTATCTTTCATTTTAGGATTTGAAATAAGAATCTCCTGAATATTATTTCTATCTCCATGGTAAAATTCTCTAAGTTAATTTTAGGGTTCATTTAACAGCACTCTTACTGAATATAGAACTGGAAAGGCTTATTATCACAAAAGGTCCCTAAGGTTTACGAAACTATCAGATTTCATCCTTAATGTTTTTTTGTGTCATTAGTGATCCTCAAGGTTAGTATGTATGATCACAAATGGTCTCTGCCGTTAGATTCCGTCAAAAACTCCGTTAGT